AAGGCGAAATGTTTGTCCGCAACTGAGGAGATGCCAGAGGGGGTGTGCGTTAGACTTACCTCCATGTGGTGCACCCTGGGCAACGTATACTCATACGGCAAAAAGTCTATGAACCGGCAGTTGACTTCTGGGTTCAAACTATCATGACCCCACTGTATGTCATATTGCTCAACTTTCACAGTACTCACCTCACCTTTCATCTACCTTTGTGTCTGTCCCTTTTACATCTTTAAAACACTCTTCTGTTCCCCCCCCCCTCTCGACTCTTTTTCGTTTTGATGTTCCTCTCCCTCTGTGAAACCTGGAGTCAACTAAAGGGCTAATGATAACTACCATAAAGCCTGCCATTTGATATAAATATTAAATTAGAAATTTTAATTAAACGCAGCAAGAGGTGATAGAGGTTTCGATGAGATAATTGTTCAGAGGCAAAGAGCATCATGCGTGGGTGTGAAATGCGGGAGCATACACTTACTGGTAGTTATTTGAACAAAAATTAAAATTTTCATAAACTCTTTGATTTGCCATGATTAGTTAATGGATCGAGTTAATGGAATATTGACATGCAAATAGTTTTGAACTTATGAAATCCAGGCTCTCATTTGAAAGATTGACCAACTTTTCATACAGCGGGCATGATATTATTCAGAAGATTCAATTTTAAAAGTTTTGTACTTCCTTTTAATATATTGTCTTTTTTACACTTGAATGCTTCATTATGGATCACTTCGAGTATTTAAGCTTAGATATACTTAATTATTCATGTAAAATCTATTTTAAGAAAGAAAGGTATTATGTATAACCGAATAGATGTCAAATTAGAGGCATGGAAAAATCACTTTGAGGGTTTAATGGAGCTCAAGAAGACAAATTGGTAATAAACTGCATGCATGGCAAAGAAGATGAGATCTTTTATTTAACATATGATTTGAAGAAGTATAAGATCAAATCAGCCTAACTACAGTAGAACACAATAGTAAAAGTGTCAAACATTCTGGTATGTTTAAAGTTAAAAAAAAGTGGTTTTAGACAATCAAAAATTAATAATTTGCGATAATAATGATATTATAAGCGCCAGACTAAATCGGGCTGGATATCTTCTCATAGTTATCGTCTCAAAGCTTGCAGATTACATAGCATTTTAGCTGACGAGAAGGCAAAAAATTAAATAAGTGTGAAGGAGATGGAGTATGGGTGAGTGGAGGGGTGGGGCGGGGTGAATTGAAAGTAAAGACGAATGAAGCTAGTACGTCGTAAGGCACAGATATAGTGGAAGCGAAAGGCGATAGGATAAATGCTGAGTCCTTTGTTTGTTATTAACTAGGGCGGATGTGTTAGTCAGTAGGGAGGCTTAAAACACAGAAACTGCCCAAATATATGGAGTAGAGGTGTTGATATTAAGCTGTTTTTCCTGCTCGGCTTTTTGTTGCAAATCTCAACTTTCGGTTATACTTAATTTTGATATATCTTACAAGTTCATTTTTCAATTCTTAAAATAAAACTTACCAAAGATGGCTCTTATCAACTTAATCTACTTAATCATATTATAAGCTTAGATTCTTTGGCGTATACATATTTATTTCTCAAACGATGGGATAGATCGAGGGAACCGTAGCACAAAAAATACCTATTGAAAAATGAATTAATCAAACATTAGACTTACAAAACTACCATATTAATTGTTTATTCTAAATTCATCAAAAACAGGAAAGATGGAAATGAGTAAAGGGAAAACTTTGATTAATCGTATAAACAGAGCTTAAAAAGTGAAAAGATTATCAGTGCTTGACGTTGTCTATATAATCTTAAATCAAGCAATAACTAAATGTCTCTTTCTACAGAAAATAGTATTATCATTTATCAATTTTAAAACGATTTTTCATCAATCGAAATTTTGCCAATATTTGTCATGAAGATGCATGCTTTTAAATTTCCTAATTCCAGCCCTGCATATTGTTCAAGTCGGTAAAATTAGAAACCAAACGAAATAAGTAAATATTTTCAAAATTTTGTGTTTTAGTGATTTCGTTGGGTAGGATTGTTAAATAACAAAAAATAGAATAAAATTTTATGAGAAATTTGATGTAATACGATCTAAAGAATAACTTTGGAACATTTTACCAGGTAAATTAAAATAGACATAAAGTATGTAAAAGAGATTAAAGATTGATTAATTAGATTAGAAATAAATTATAAATATTATTAGCCATTAATATTTATTTATTTCAAATGGCAGGCGTTATGATAGTTATCATTAGTCCTTTAGTTGACTTCGGGCTTCACAGAAAGGAAGAGGAGCACCAAAGTGGTAAAAAGTAGAGAGGGGGGACGGAATAATGATTCACAGACCTAAAAGAGACAGACAGACACAAAGGTAGGAAAAAGGTGAGTGCTGTGGAATTAGTAGAATATGGAATGCAGTGAGGTGATGGTAGTTTGAAGTCAAAAGTCGAATTCCGATTAATAGACTTTTTTGCCGTATGAGTATACGTTGCCCTGACGATCAATAGACTTTTTTGCCGTATGAGTATACGTTGCCCCAGGTTAATAGACTTTTTTGCCGTATGAGTATACGTTGCCCATAGTGCACCACGTGGAGGTAAGTCTATCGCACACCCATCTCACTAGTTAATAGACTTTTTTGCCGTATGAGTATACGTTGCCCAGAGCGTACCACGTGGAGGTAAGTCTATCGCACACCCCACATTGCTATTTCGTTTAGCGCCACGTGGAGCTAAGTCTATCGCACACCCCAGCCATTAATATAATAACTTAGCGTGCACTATTTTATTAAGGGCTTTCCTTTGTTGCGAATATGATATAACGTAATAAAGTAAAATAGATCTTTTAATCTACAACACTCCAAAGTGCTTAAAAATGTATTTCCTCGATAGTTCTAGAATTTAAACCCTATAATGAGAAATTTCAAAACCAACCTCTTTCTAAAGACAGCACTAAAATTCTTGTATGGAAGTCAAAAATAGAATCATCATATATCTGGTAATTCAGTGAAGTTTACCTGCTGAGCAGCCAGAATATCTGCGGCGCCGTGATGCCGCTTATTTCGAAGGTCGTTTCCATTGACGGAGAGAATTGCGTCACCAATATAGAATTCGCCCGAGCGGTGAACCACCTGGTTGGGAATAATCTCGGAAATAAGGATTGGCACTCCATACTCGAGTCCGCCCGTGATGGAAATTCCCAACTCCTCCGTGGGTTCGCGGTGAACCGTAACGTGCCGAACTCGATTGCACTGCTCTTTGGCTATGGAAAGAAAAGGGAAAGTAAAATTTGAACATTTTGTCAAAAAAATAGATTATATCACATCTATTATTCGTCCTAATTACTGACGTCCATATTTTTGTAAACATCAAAGCTGTTCGGACTATCTAGTAAATTGATACCAAATGGGGAGCGCTTTATCTTTCAACTTCGTCAATTAAAGGATTAAGCATTCTTAATACAAGAGAGTCGTTCATTGTCTTCGCCATAAAAAATACTGTGATTAGTCCCTTTTAAGCTGTCAAGTTTAAGCTGGTTTCAATATTCTATATATCCCACCTGAAAGCAGTTAGATGCTTGACATAAATAAATTTGCTCGATTTCAAATGTTAAGTTACTTCTAGCAATAAATTGAACTGATTATGAGCTAAGCACAGCTATGAAATTAACGACAATTCAATTATTTCTACATGCAAATTGAGCTATCTGTTTGGAAACGAATCTTCAACAAAAATTGGCTCACAAGTAACCTGAAGGTTTCATAGACAAATCGGCGCGAACCCCAATCTGGTTTCCAGAGATGGCTTCAAATTTCAAGGACCAAGGCGTCATATCATACGCTAGTCCTCTTCTAACTTCTTAATATTTAAAGCTGTGCATCTTTCATTACTATTAAAGTTAATTGATCATTTGTTATTCTCAATCATTATAAGGGAGATACATATTTTGAGCATTTTTGTGTGATAATCACAAAACTAAGTCAGAAAGTAAATATTAGAAGATTCAAACTTTATAAACAGTTTTTTTCTAATATCTGTATATGTAAAAGCGAGCTTTTTGCATCCGTTTACTGAATTTAATTATAAGCACTAAAACTTTGGAAAAAAGTGACAATTTTCACCAACACCATGTAATTGACTTTACCTCTTCTGGCAAATTCGGTAGTAAATTGCTTTAAAAAAAAGAATCCGCACACACTAAGTGAAAGAGCCTTTACAGAAGTTGTGATATTTTAAAAAGGCTAAAAAAACAAAATAACTACATCACTAAGACCCAATTATACTCATAGTGAAAGTAGATTCAATGGATGAAAAGAAAGTGCACCCTTTTCAAAGAATTTTACTGAAAACGACCATTGACATCTCTATCGTAGCTTCACTCGTCCCCAACTCCAGACACTGAACCTTGAGGCAAGCCGATTTCACACATTCCCACTAAAGGGTCTCTTGAACCACTTTAATTCTATTCATCAATTGACCCTTCAGTACTGGCACCGCAATTAGTAACTTTATCGGCACGGTACTCCATTGAGCTAAGTCCTATGAGTTGGGAGGAGTAATCACAAAAACTGATTGGCTCTTCCTGAAGTGTGGCTGTTAGACGTACCAGGCTTCCACCATTTATATGCCTACCAGTGTTGTTAATTCGGGACTCAACTACTACAGTAGTCAACAAGAAGAGGTATAAATTCACTATTGGAGAATACACAGCCGAAAGCCTTCAATATTCGAGGAGAGCCATTTTGACTGCGTTTGCAAGGCAAGAAATCTGCTGTTCTTCGTGCCATGCTTTTGATATTGGTGTAAAGTTATCTCCATCGGAGATAAAACAGATTGCTTGTGCTTCGGCGGGATACTTCACTTTATTCAGAAGTAAATTTGGGTTCTCAAGCGACTATTTTTGTTACTCTTAGGTGAAAGAAATCGACCTCGTCGAGGATCGCATGATCTTGTGGAAGGAAATCACACCACAGAGTACTTGCTTAATGGTTGAGGTTAAAGCACCCAATTAAAGGTTTCTTTGGGGTTGCCTTTTTCTAGTTGCTTTACTCCAGTTCATACCGGAATCTTTTCACAATATTGATGAAATAATGTGGAACGACCTTAGTGAAACATAATGATTCGGGTTGGTTTCAGTCAGCCAATACATTGATAAATAAAGAGGTTTGCTCTTCTAACAACGAAAAAGAGTATGTGTGAATCCCCTTAATATATCTGGAAAAATTACTGAATAGTATTCAGCAAATCCAAGAAAATTTCAATTCCTTATATTGATTATCGAATGGAACATTTCAGAACTCAATCCGAGCATATCTAATCAATTGATGGAAATATCTCGAACTTATTCTAATATGTGTTTGTGTGTCATGGTGAACAGAAATTTTAAATTATTTTTAGAGAAAACCGTCAACTCCGTTATTGGAGGGAATATAAAAAATATTATAATTTTTAATAAAGATTAAAAAATTAAAAGGCATCTTCATCAAGTGCATGGTTAAATTTAAACAAACTGTTTTAAATTGGTAATATTAACGATTTTGTGAGATAGACGATTAAATATGGGGCAATTTAAGCCATGAAATATCCAACTTTACTCTGACAATTACATTTTTTATTACTCATAAATTTACTCCTCATTATTGTGGTTATTAGAGTTAAATTAGAGTTGAGTTATTCTGTAACTAAAGGTAATCTCATTTGCCTCTTCCTGATTACGTCGAAATTCGGATGAATCAAAATGTGGCAGAAAAACTTTCCTTCAAATCATGAAAAAATGGTGTTTGAGAATATTTTAACATATCAAATTTCGGAGATTTCGGCCAACTCATCGCATACAAAACCGCATTTCTATTTCCCGTATTCCAACTCAGTCCCTTGCTTATAACAGCTAAGACAGTTACCACTGGTAATAATGGCATAAAGATCGATTATTAAAGTTCCCCCTTGTGTAGAATTCAAGGAAATCTATGACTTTAAAGGAATATTAGCTATTGACTGTCAGTCACTTAACTGATCTGTTAGCCTACTCTGAAAATGGCAAGCAGGAACTCACTCAAGAACCAAATTTATAAATATGTGCCCTTGTACCCCATACAAAAAGTAATATCTTTTTGGTAAAGTTTGCCGAATTCACTTTGAGGGAACAAAGCTTTTAAAAGCTCTCGTCTAAGTCAAAACTGTTAACTTCGAAATATCTCATGGGATCATTTGCCTTCTCAATCACTGAAAAGAACGAAGTGAAGCGTGAAGACTAACCATCTCTCTGTACGTCGGCTAAGCTCATATATATATACCCTAGAATAGCATTCGCTCCAACTGAGAGGGCCAACAGTGCAATTTGAATTTTAAAAACTGAGCAGTCCAGTTGGTACGTATTATACAAGCAGAGAAAGTAAGGCAACCAGACCCCCCCCCCCCCCCCCCNCCCCCTCCCCCCCCCTCCGAATCCAAAATCATTTGTTAGCCTTGCTGTTATTCAATGTCATTTGATCTCTGCAAACAAACATTTATAAAGCGTTTTACTCTGATATATAATGAAATTTTTTTAATCTGTGAGTAGAGGGGTTCATTAAAGCAAAACAAAAAATGCGTTCCTAGTATAAGCGGTCACCATTTTTACTTCACAGAATGGACCCTTTGTTCTGCCTTGGGGTTAGGAAAGCGATTCCATGCAGTGGATAAAATTGGCGAAGGCGTCGGTTCAATGGTTTTTGTAAATTAAAGTTTCCTGACCCAAACTCTAATCATATCTCAGTTGGCTCAGTGTCTTCTATCTAAAGTAGGAGTGATTTTTGCAAAAGAACTTCTTATAGCCTTTCATTCTGTGTTAAGATATTTCTTTTTCCATGTTTTTACATGCTTCCATTTAATAATTATAACTTTGAGCCATCTCTATGACCTCGGCTTTTAGTACAACCAGCGTTCTATTATTGATTATGTGATTTCATGCTGATGGCTTCAGTACCTATTATAATTGGCGGTATGCGAAGCTCATGCTTAATGACCAATAACTCAATCTTTATCAGTATTAACTCGACCGCAACCATAAATACCCCCATGGTTTTCTCTACTCCATATATAAGCCATAACCCCCATAAGCCGCTCTGAGGGAGATCAAAAAGCTTTGATAACTGCCCCCAGTTGCGTTTTGCTTAATCATCGACCAAGCGATTCCTTAATGCGGGACATATATATATATATATACAATTTACGTAGGAATAAAAAAGCAGTAGACAGTCTCTAGGTCTTGTTAACTTATTAGCAAAAGCGTTTGAGTTATATTTGTGATTGAAGAGAAGGAAAATTTGTCTCAAAACAAGGTTACGTAAAAATTTAATTTCCGTTACTTGCACGTTTTCCAAGATTGTTAAAATTCGCTACAATTGTGGGTTAGCACATGGTAGAATTTTGAGGCATTGTTGAAATGTACTAAAATTACATGCTATTATAGAATTCGGTAGATTTATTACTATTTTGGGGGCTCATTAGTTAGACACAATTTCATATGTTCCCAGTACGCAATAAAAAGCCCTCCAATCGAGGGAGTGGGTATTAAGGAGCAAATATGAAATATGTGCCAATGAAACGGATTGTAAAAAGGCAATGAAGTCCACTAGATGTAAATAGAACTCATTTTAAAGTTGTGGAGAACACAATGTTAACACCACTGAAGCGAACATTTGGGAAAGAGTGGTTGCTCCTATACACATAAAATATTGCTGTGTTGCTGATGTGGTCACGATTACAGAGACATTCCAGCCAATCAATAATCAATAGTCACTGATTTGGGAATGAGCTCTGTGCCAATGAAATCACAACTCGAATAAACACACAGTCTGTTATCTGTGATAAATTGTGATAAATGTTGATACTCAAGCAAGTGGAATTTTCCAATCCCTTATATTTCGTAAATGGGTCCTCGATAGGCATACCTCCATGTGTTGCTTCCAAAGCAACGTATACTCATGCGGCAAAAGGTCCATAAACCGGCAACTGACTTCAAGCAAACATAACCCAACTGTGTAATATATTCAGCCACTTTCACAGTACTCACCTTACCTTTTTCTCTACCTTTGCGTTTACCTGTCTCTTTTACATCTGTGAATCACTCTTCTGTTCCCCTCTCATGAATTTTTGTGACTTTAATGGTTTTGCCCTCTTTGAAGCCCGAAGTCAACTATAGGGATAATTATTATGATTACAAAGCTTGCCATTTAATATAAATAAATATATATATTTTTAAACTCCAAATGTTCAGATACCAAGGAAAACTGGCCAGTTGAAACGACTGGGTGATATCTCCTCTCATCTTGTAAAACCCACAAAACTCTTTGTCGGCAAAAGTTCAGACTTGTTCAGTTTTAACGTCTCCTTTTGAAGTCCCCCTATTGCGAATTCGTTATCAATTAGGACCTTACAAATTTGTCTGGATAAATCTGGGGCCTAAATTGGCTGAGCATTAGTCATGATCCAATTTGTCCTATTTAATTAAAAATTCCCATTTATCTACCCTATTTAACTCAACTGACGCAGCAGGTTTATAACTGAAGTCGGGATTGCACGCGACTCCAACTGCATTTTCAAAATTTAAAAAAAATTTTTATCCTCTTTTGCATTAACGGTAAAACAAATAGCATTCACCTGGTAACGTTTAATTGAAATGCACTTTCTATGCAGAAATGCGTGTCAAAGATTGACTATTGGGAAAATGAAGCAATTAAAGACGCAAAATTTTCTTCATAAGAGGAATGCCTTTCGATGGATATTTGATTTAAATATTTGTGTTCAACTGGCATGCTCTTTTTGTAGTCTACTCATTATAGAACACCCTCTTAGAGTCGCAAAAGCATTCCTTTTCATTGTGAACTATCCTGCTTAAAAGGTAGCCATTTAGTTGGTGAATTATAAACCTTGTCCTCACCTATCAGTTATGAATAGTTAAATTAAATTATCATGTCTCGATCATAATGGCTAATTCCATTAGCTAAGTCTTTGCCGTACTATTGAGACAACACTAATGATTCCAGAATAAAAGTAACTGAATATTATCGATATTGCCGCTTGCTTGAATTTGACAGTGGAATAATTAAATTTATTTATTATTGGGGAACTGTATCCCCCATGAAAACTCGAAGGTCTCAATGTCTCTAGAGTAGAAGTAAGGTAGGCCGCATTAAGCCCTGGTTTACATAACAGCATTTTCAATCATCTTCTCCCAACCCTGCCTATCCTTGTTCAAGCTTCAGTGCTGCTTTACATGAATCGCGTCGATAACAAACTCTCGAACTTTCTTTACTTTGTCAAAACCACTTAGACAATATTGACTGTCTATCCTTTAGTTACCTGTACAATACCCAATTAAATTAAATCAACATTTCAACATATTCTCAAAATTATAAGATCACAAGTACATTCGGGGACTCAAAAGTTGGTGCTCAAAATCTCAACCTTATATCATTAGAAATGGATAAAAACAATACTAAAATAACGTTCTTTTGGAATCTATTTGAAGCCATTACACCTCTACCTTCTATTAAGTATTCAGTTTTAGAAAAAATATTCGCCTGGCATATATTTAAGCTGGAGTACAGAAATCCAATGATCCATAATCAAGAACACAAAAGATGGTGACCTTGAGCTTCAATTGCTATTTTATGATTGTATGAACTCTTTTTAACGCTGAAGAGCATTATTTGCCATTTATAGTGTTTTGCAAAAGAAATGTGTGACGAAAGACGCAAGGTTTTGTCAAAGAACTACGTTCGTTTGGCTATTGAATATAACATTTTGAAAGAAGCAAAAATTTTCCCAATAGACGTACAAAGATACTTTTGAATCCGTGACTTTATAAACATTTAAATCTAATCAACTGTTAAGCAAGACTTGAATACCATTTAGGTACCTGATCACATTTAATAAAAATTGAGCTATTGGAAACCCTATTTTGAAAATAGAAAATTTTCTCTCCTGCTCAGATGCTCTTCCTTGATAAAGAAATTATGCTCGCAACAAACCAAAATATGCCCAAGCTTGGAACTCCACGCAACATACAAAATTCCTTCCCAACTATCTTTAACCAAGTGATTGTTGGTTATGGGAAAAATAACTTGCTCAGACGTTTATGTGAAGTAAAAATTCACTAAAAAAGTTAGCTGCCGTTTTGAATAGATTCGGAATTCCTTGAAATTTGATGAAAGCCTATTTCTCACTTCAAACTATCATCACCTCACTCTATGCCATATTCGACTATTTCCGCAGTACTCTCCTCACCTTTTTTCTACCTTTGTGTCTGTCTCTTTGACATCTTTGAAATTCTCTTCTGTTCCCCCCCCCCTCTTGACTTCTTTCATTTTGATGTTCCTTCCCCTCTGTGAAGCCTGAAGTCAAGACGCCTGCCATTTGATATAATAAGTTTAATCGGGCTTGAATGGGGTGCTCTGTCGATCTAGTCGGCAAGAAACCTTCATTTCACATCTTCTTCATTTTTTTAAATCGAGAACTGAAAGATACTATACCATCGAGACCTTTGTTCCAATGAGCTAAAAAAATTATTTATGTGGAAATGTACAATTCTGGTAACGTACATTACAAGTCAATTCAGTCAATAAAAGAAAATTCAAATATTGGCACCATTTAAAAATTAAATTAATTGACAACAGTAGAATAAGTAGAATGTAGCTTTAATGGAAATTAGACGTAAGCATATGCTATTTAGAGGCCATTTAGAGGTAGATAACCTACTACTCATGAATGTCTGTCATACGGAATAATTGATTTGACAGTGCAATGCCTTCCGAAAGCCAATTTAGAGTATTTTATGATATATGGTAGGAGCAAGAGTCAAACCCGCTACATGAAAAATTCTAAGGAGGAAAGAAAATGCAACTATTCGTCTCACAAACCAGTGTTGCATGCTTTTGACTTTGAACAATTAAGAGAGCCAGGGAAAATTGAAATTTGAATGGAGCTAGAAACAGGCAATTAATTAATTTTATAAACATTAACATTTTATCAACTGAAAGTACAGGACATTCAGATTTATTCGAAAGTTCCATTCTGAATTTCTTAGGAAATTTGACTTCCAAAAGATTTTATTTTTCATTGTTACATTTTTTAATAAGAATTGGCCATTTAAAGTGAAAATATGTTACCGAATGGTGACTTAAATGCATTTAAGATTTTAGTAAACTTACGCGGAGGCGGATCTAGTCGATTCCGACAACTAAGGTTGACTGTTTTGTGTCTGCAAAGAAGTATTTCTGATTCAAGGGTATTCCAAAGTTTTTCTTGCTGTGGACCATCCATTTTCTGGCAAAGAAGTTGTATTTGCTGAATACGTCCGGCTAATTCCTTATATAGATACTTCACTGCCATTCGAGTACCATAAAGTTCATCCTTAAATATTAACAGAAAAAATATAAATTGATTCGACCGCATTTTATCATATTTAAACTGATTACTTGTAAATTAGATATATATGACTTGAGTTCCTGACTTTCTTTTGTTAATATCGAAATGGCTGTGTGCATTCGGTCTCCCAAAATAAATTGGCTCTTGCGATCTTCTTGTTGCTTTTCTAAGGATCGTTTGACATTCTCTGCTGTTGTATTAGATCCATTTATGGAAGATAGTTTAAGCTGAAGGTTATGAAGCTCGAGTAAGAGATATTCAACTTCTTTTTCTGAAAACGATTTCCCTGCAACCGCTGTTTCTAAATCACTGACAAGCACGATTTCCCGAGCCTAAAATTAAATTACAAATGTTTAATTTACTTCAAGTCTTGATAAATTTTCGTACGCAATTTGAGCGTTGAGGGAAGTATCCGTATATAGTTTATTGAGTTTATTGAGATATATCCGAAATAACTCCCTATCAGTACTAAGAGGTACTTTACTCTCAAACAGCGTATCAAGTTTAATATAAGCTCGATCAAATTCCCTTTCGTTGCTATCTAATTTTTTAAAGGCATGCTTTGATACCATTTTCATTAACAATTTCATCCAACTATATTGCCGCTACAAGGTGAAAAGCATTTACTAGACGAATCAAAGTAACCCAAGGTTGAAACTTATCGAACATATTGCGCAAAAATTGTATCTATGTTCGCTTTATACCTTGATGATATTTTTATAAAACATTTCATTCTGGTTAAAGAAATAAATACGATTATACAAACCTATTTTCATGTTTGAATCATATGATGAGCTACCAAATGGCCAGTAAATTATATTATATTTGTATATATAATACATAGTTATTTTGCCACAGTTGTCATTTCTTTTACATTAAGTCATGGATGGCGGAACTAATTAATTAAGTTTAAAACTTGTGGGACACATCATCAATGACCAAATAGAAATCCTGCTATAGAACCCTACTCAGAAATATTTTAGCTATTAATGTTCACACGAATTATGCTAGAGTTTTCTGATAACTAATCGCTTTGCCAAACACAACACTTCGCTATCAATATACGTACTGAATAAACGTATTCCGTGCTACACGTCTATTTCCCTTATAGCTGGGCTTTAGCTTAGCTTGTTCTGGGAGTCTAGCTAGATGTTGGAGAATCTGCCATAGAGATTTCTGAGTCGGTCAGGCTTTACCAGCGTAGCAATCCGCTACAAACTTGCAATTTCGTCAACTTAAAAATGTTTCCTTGATCTTGCAGTTTACTTAAAAATCAACTATTAAAGCTGAATCCTTGACCATACCTTAAAGGTTAATTTATACTCCTTGCGGAAATTGCACCACTACTCCCATCCCCCCAAATTTTTTTGAATCCATTCCTTCGAACTAATTTAAAAATCGTCACTTGTTATTAATCGTTTGATTTTAATAAATATTTATCAGAAATCAAAATACTATGGTCCTTGCGTTTAGTAATTTAATTCATTGTGCCGAATATGTGAAAGAAAGTAGGATGTTTTCATAAATCGTTAGCATTTATACAGCTCACTGCAAGCATATTTCCATATAATTATTATGACACCCTCACCAGCTTGTTTTCTTTACTTTAGACTGATTTCTATATCACTCAGAATTTGCAATTCCAAAGGCACATCTAATATATGAATGTCAGTTTGGTTTGATGCTACTGATGTTGGCCCCACAGTAAGAGCATTTATTTGCAACAACAATGATTCCTTAAAGAAACATTCAATTTCTGTCGGGCCTTTATCTGCCAAACATAGCTAGTTGAGTTAGCCATTCTGCTCACTAGGTTATGAACCGTCAGCTACCGAAACTGAGACCCTTTGAATTTGTAGACGTTTGCGTTAACCCATCGATTACCATTTTAAACTGGCTCTAGGCACTATATTGCCATCTCTTCGGCTTTAAAATTAATTGCCAATCTCTTTTTGCCTTAAAATAGAGCGAACAGTATTTCCTTTCTACAATTGTATTAATTGTAATAGCAATCTAGAGATATTTCTGAAGGTGGACTATATTGCTTCCTGGTCTGCAGTAGGTTATCACTTACGAAACAATAATTTACCTCTCACTTAGCATTTTGAACATTAAATGAAATGCACATTTCGTCTTTGACGGTAAACTAATTCCATAACTCGCTTACGGCTATTTTCTAGTTACCTATATAAGTGGCACATATAGAACCAGAACGGTCCATGCCCTGGTACTGATGGCCCATACGAATGACTATTATTTTACCATCAATCAAGTTCTGAAGAAGAGCCAGCCTACAACCAAATTACTTCGAGTGAAATTTCTAGCACGATCGTCGTCACTTCCCACTCCACTTTCAGGCTTCCATTGTGCTTAATTCACCAATAACAAGCTTTGCAATGCCGTCCTTATAACTCATCCCTCAAAACAATTATTACCTCGTACTAGACATCCCGGCTAGACTTCGCACTGTTCTACTTAACCATATGCAGCTGACTAATTTTGAGGCTCTGTCTGCTAAATGGCGTTCTCTGCTCCACAACCGTGATATCCCATTCCTCCTGCGCAACACTCTGAAAACGAAGAAGTTCAAGACGCAAGGATGATGCTTACGCAGGATTAGGACTGAAAGGTGGCTCCACCAAGCGACAATTCCTCACAATACCCCCCCCCCCCTCGTATCATCTTCAAGCCGAAGAGACCCATTTTACCCTAAATTATAAACAACCTTCCACTAACTATTTAGCATAAAGTCGTGGAAATCTGTTACAATGACTGTGGTGCATCAAATACGCAAGAACGAGTGATTTGTATAATGAGGGCACTTGATTTTGAAAACGTCAAAATATGAACATCTACAATGAATAAATTGATTAGGGGGAGAAGAGGAGAGTGGGTAACATTCAAGCACGGGAGAGGTCAATAACCTAAAGGGGAAAGAAAAGGAAGAGCTTAGCTTCCTGCCAAAAATATTTGAATTGGCAAGTACTAATAAAACTGAACGCACCTTGACAGTAGAAGTATTATCAGCCATGAAAAACCGAGAAAGTTCATGTCCAACAAGGGAGCCAATTTTTTCAGAATGAACAAATTGAGTTCCACTGCCCCCACGTGAAAGCTCCCAGAGGAAAAGATTACAGTCGTCTCCACCAGTAAGTACATGAGAATCCTAAAAAAACAAATATCAGAAAAATCAGTGCACAGGCAACAACACTGAGTGATTAGCTAACAGAATTTGGAAAAGTAAATAAAGATGTATACACTGAACTGCCCTTCAACTCAAGAGAAGAGTGTGAAAACCATTTCCCAGACGGGCTTGAGAATTAAATTTTTTACTAAACACATTAAAATGGAAAAATTATTGCAAATTGAAAATCTTAAAAGGAAGCCTATATCAACTATATGTAATATATACTCTGCGCACAGTAGTAGAAAATGGAACAATAACTAGTAGAGTTAAGATGGTCAGGAGACATCTACACGACGAACATTTGCTCCAACTTCGAAATGCGAAATCATAAAAAAGCTTAGGCAATGGAAACATTAACAAACAAAGCTGACTAAGAGAAATCGTAATGTATGATAGAATGAGGTCGCACAACGGGTAGTGTTAAATAAAAAAAAACACCACATCTCCCCAATTTAATTAGTTTCACGCCTTGCATACAATGTCAAGTTTGAGCATCCTGAAAAACTCTAATTAAGACATCATTGTAATAAAGAATGACAAAATGTTATCGCAACTCATGTCCGTCGAAAGGATTTTTCAAACATTTTTATTGGATAAAATAACCGCAATCTGGGACCCCCTTAAGAGGAAACTCGAGATCTCTTGGATAATTGAACAAAACCGAGACTTGACGCGAAAAATGAACTCTACGCTACAGAAAAGCGTATGGTGACTTCTAAGTCTACGTTGGAAAACATTTCTCAACACCTTTTGAATCCAGGAGTAGCATTACAATATCTGACAAAAGAAGAAATCGGCTACTACTTTTATTAGACGGTTAATTGCGCAACAAAACCATAACCTCTGAACCTAATCATAAGCCGTGTAACCGTAACTGGGTGTACAGTCTTAAATTTTGGATAATTCGATTTATTTACTTTAAAACAATATAAACTAGGATGGCAGTAGCAATTTAGTTTTATCCTTCTCACGTTGTGATAACTATGGGCTCATCCTTATATCGACCATAACGTAATTATATTTACCACATTTTCACTATTGCTCAGCTTTTACTACCTATACTGAAGAGCATTAAGAATTAAAACAAAATTAAAAACTTACCCCAATAGGTAGAATCGCTGCAACTGACCGTTTATGACCAAAAAGAGATTCCGTGTGACGAAGATTTTTGGCACCATTAAACACTTCAACAGTTCCATTTCCTAGACCTGCAATAACGTAATCACCCGAATCGCTACAGCCAATACTATGAACCATTGGTGGGTTCAAAGGCAGATCTTGGCCCAATGTGTGAGTGAGAACAATACGTCGGTTTTCTTCCTGGCTAAAGGATGAAGCAATCTGCAAAAGAAGTGGCAAGATATAAATCATCCTCCAAACTACTGAAATCGGATTAAGTAGATATTTACGCGAATAGAAGCGACATTGGCACGGCCTTCAATTTTAGTCTGTTGGGTATTGTTTAATAAAGGCGCGAACCTGCTATGGTCAACTAAATCAGACATAGAAAAGACTTTTTTATTACGACATCCTGTCTTCCAATCCCTGATGACAAGCTGACAGTCGAGACCAGAAGAGATGAGTTGACTTGGCCAAGAGGGGCGAAATCTGACAGCTGAACAAATATTGTCATGGTTTTCCAAGACACGTGTAACTTTTTGATTGGAAATCGAAATCAGACTAACTGATCCAAAATCGTCTGCGGCGGCGATAAATCCATCTTGAGCATTAACATCTATTGAATTAATCTCCTCATCGCTAACTTGAAGTTCAAACACCGGCAGAGCAGGATTACGAAGGTCCCAAGCAAAAACATTTCCTTCGTGGGCGGAATAGAGAACATCGGAAGAGTTACCAGAGAAAGCCAAGGCGTTGCAAGGATCAATGGAATGAAAAAGGGAAATAGAAGAATCAGGAGTAGAATTGGGAGTTATAATATGAACAGTACCATTCTCAAGACCAAGTGCCAAGTAGTTATTAGAAAGGGAAAGAGAAAATACAGTATCTGTACAATTAAACAAAGGTGTGAAACTCAAAGTTGTCATTGCGCTACTCCTTCAAATTAAATTCAGCAACAAGAGACGGTCGGTGATTGAAGTTATAGAACGATGGCCTGTTACCAAAGGAATCCCAAGACCTTTACAGAACAATAGTTGATTAAATTGATATTACCTATTGCGAGGATCCGTAGAAGAACTAATGAGTGAAAAGTCACCAGCGACTCGCACAACACCAATAATCGTGATTATAAACCCAAATATCGTTTGCCAGAAAATCTAAAAAATATTGAATAATATTCCAAAACGAATTACATCAGCCGGAAGTGAGTCGTATTGTGTTCCAGTAAGCTTCAAATATGTTCGATCTAAACTATAAGCAACATAAAGTTTTTTAACTTACGTTGAATAGCAGAATATGCGGCGTGAGTTAGGATAATAAGACCAAGAAAAACGAGCAAGCGCCCAACAGTGATCATTGCACGCAATGAAGGCAGATAAAACCCACACTATTTATTTCTTAACAATCGACAAATAACCGTAATTATCACATTGGTTAAAAATATGCAGTTGAAAACCGATTCGTGTTGGATAATTCAATTTTAGATTTTTTAAGAACTATATTTATTTATGTTTGACAGATTTTGGAGAATATTTATTTATTTACTTCAAATGGCAGGCCATTTTGATAGTTACCATTACCCCTTTAGAGGATTTCGAATTTCACAGAGGGGCGGAACATTATAGTGAGAAAAATTCAAGAGGGGAAAGAAGAGTGATTCACAGTTATGAAGAGGAAGATGGACGTAATTGCAGAGCAAAGTAAGATGAATAGTGTTGAAGTAGTCGAATTTGACATACAGTAGGATTATGATAGTTTGAAGTCAAAAGTAAACTGCCGAATAGTAAACCTTTTTGTCGCATGAGTATATGTTGTCCTGGGTGTACCACGTAGAGGTATGTCTATCGCGCACCCAATTTTAGAGAATATTGTAACAATGACATATCAGAATATTTTTTAGCATTCTAGGATTTAAATATATAACGCGTCAATTTATTTCAGTACGGCTTTTTGGTCTGAAAATTGAAATCAATAAAAATCTGGCAATGGATCAAGGGTTAACTTAATACACGAATGTGAATGCGCATTCGTTTAACATTTTATTCACCCATTGTTTAGTTTTAATGTTCTCCAAATATGCTATGCTTAGTTGACTTAATTTACATACCGTACAAATTAAAAAACATAGATATTCTAGCAACCTAAAAGATATTGCTTGTTTCATCATATTTTTAGTGTTTCATAATGACTCCTCTGATTGAACTATTATTTTCATCAGAATATTCTAGGGGAAATTTATAGATATTCAGTACCAGTGCCATCTTTTACGTCTCTGAAAACTCATTTAATTTTCGTTAAATTTACAAAAAGGGTATTTTTAAATTCGAGTAACTGGCTAATCCACACATAATAAAGTAATATTTAACTGATAGACAATTTTATATCCTTTCCAATATAAAATCCAACCATTTATTTCGTTTCGGTATATATCCAACAGTGCTATTCGCAAACATTATAACGAAGAATAGAATTATCTTTATGGGAATAGAGGGATTTCCATGAGGATTATTATCTCATATCCACATTCAGTTGGCTTTAATGCTCTGATTTCACAGCCCATCAAGTTTCATAAAACTATGCAAATTGATATATGGTAGTGCGCATCATCTGTGGTTGAGATTGTAGCATCACCTGACTGAAAAAATTTTTAGAGATGGTTATGACTTTCGTACGCCTTATGGACCTTAAACTCTTCTTTATTTTGTTGCCTTAATAAATATCTAATTGGATTACGCTAAATGCTCTCTCATCGCACTTTCGACGCTATCAAAATGACGAATTTTACTTAAATTTTGGATTAAAAGAATATCACAAAAAATTAATAATCTATCCAAATAACGCAGTTTTGAGAAGCGCAATATCACTTGAAAATATCGAAAACTCATCCGGCTTTTGCTCATTATGCAAACTACCACGTACTTCTCAACTTAAAAACTCATAGCGGACTAAGCCAGCAACCCAATATAAAGTTGACATTTTGAAGCTATCATACCAAACCACAACTACCTTTGAGATTCGAGTTGCGTCATGAGTTAGCGATTTGGGCAAGTTAAGCAACTCCACTTTGCCTCTAATGCTTATTTTCCCCATTCCCATCTTAAACTATTTCGTTCCAATGCACGATCCAGCTGTTTCCAAAATTGATATTAACTAACCTCCCCATTCACAAAACCGCACCACACTAGAGATCTCCCAACTGCACCCCTGGTTAGGCAACTCCATAAATGTCTGTTGCCTACATACTAGTACTACCTCTCACAACAAGAATCTAGCGGTGATTTTAAAGGATTGCTTGTCCGCTTACAACTCTTGGTGTTCCGCATTTTTTGGGAGACTGTGGCCGCCAGCTGAGAGACTCAAGTCAAAGCGCTCACAATCAGCGTCTGGTTTCGCCAGACCCTAAACTGCTGGTCATCGTTCTGCTACCTCGAGAGTCTTAAGTAACCAATTAAGACCATAATTGTTAAAAGCGAGGAGAGCATATCAAGATGCGAGAATTTCAAAGAAACCTACTTGCTGATAAGACGCCGACAAACAAAACTCTAGGTTTATTTTTATATTCGGGCTCAAACCATCCTAACTCATAAACGGGCACACATCGGAAACATACAAACAACAATAACAAGACCATATCACAAAATCTTTCAGATATTTTCAATCTAAATCTTGGTGAAAAGCAAAGCAACAGTGAGGGATCGATCAAATTAGTAAAAAAAACACAATAAGAGTTAAAGAATAAAAAAGCATGACTGTCAGCCATTCTTCGTTTGATTGTAGAGATTTTGGCTAAAGTGAAGATTTAAAAGAAAGAAATATTAACTTAATGGATTAAGGCGTAATAAAATTTTGACAGAAACGCACATTGAATGACTTAATGATTCAAGTTTATTCACCAATGTAGATAGATTTGATTTTGAAGTCTTTCTACCTTCTTCCATCAATAACCTATAAGTTCAATAATAAAAACCGATTAACGAGGTGCAAGTGACGAGAGACAAAATTTTACAAAATCATGCCTTCTTGCTTGCTGCCGATTACGACCAGAAATAGGCCCCGTAGTGCTTTGCATCTTGTTGTCCAATTCGAAATGCAAGCGCATCAATTCCTCCTGTTGCTCTCTGACCGCATCCAGTTTGTCATATGGGCAATCGGCGCCAACAGATACTATTTTTCCAGCCTCAAAATCTTCAAGCAACCGAAGCATTTTCTCTTCCATATGATGAACATCATCAATATTTGCAGCCAGGTTCTGCAAAGCACTACCTCTAAGAACATCTTTACAAACTTAAATAATTTATTGAATAAAATTTACCGGGAGTATCGGACAGAGGTATTGAACCTTTGTGTGGCATATTTCAACGCAGGGTGGGGATTAATAAAAACCTTAAAACCATTCATCATACAAAACCTGAACTTCATACAAGATAACTGTTCAAAAATGGGTAAAAAATACAAGAACGCAAGCTTTTACGAGCAATCAAATAAGGCAGTAAAACTTATAATAATTTTAAATGATGTAGATGGAAAAATTTACAAATAAACATTTTTTCTCTTAAAATAAATTTGATTGAGCATCTATTTATTTTTTAACTCGAACATCAATACAATCATTGATAATTTATGTTTTTCAAACCTGAATTAGTGTGTCCGATTGGAAACAAAAATCTCCTCACCACAACCTAGTAATTCAAATGCGGTAGTTCCCGTGTTCTTTACTTTTTCTTACTATGATAACAAACTATTTATGGAGCAACATGACTCACGCCCTTATATTTGTCGTGCATCCACACTGACGTCTTATTTTGTGATTCTACTTTTCACTGGAAGGTTCTTTGACAAAACCTCGCACACGATGATATTTTCAATTTATCTCAAATCTTTTCATTCCACGACTAGCTCACTTTTACTTAAACTTCCATTAGTCTTCTTAATAGAACAACGCTAGACAAGTTCGTCTAATTAGGTATTTAGATTCGAATACTTAAGATGATTTTAAAATTTTGTATGACTTTAATTTTTGTAAACAATGAAACTCTTTTGTCTGTAGTCTATCACTATTCTATTCTGTTCCTCAAGTGCATGGATTAGCAATTTAAATGGGTGGCGTTATTTTTGCATCTTCAGCGAAAAAAAAAACAAATATAAATCAGATCTAAACCTTCTTAAAGCAAGCCGCAACTTAATTTTTGCTTAAAAGGAAGAATAAATAGCGTTTAAATCTTATTCATATAATGATGTGAAGATATCTTTTTGACGGAATATAATGTCATGATTATTGTTCAATTCTGTATTGAATTTAATCCACTTATTTTAAATATCTTTTTGATAAGAGGTCTGGTAAGGCGACTGAACGCTCTTGAATGAATCACTGCAGTTATTCATTATGTTTAAAGCGCAATTTTACAAGCTTCCAAGAGTTTACGCATTATGAGCAAAGTTTAATGGATCATACAATCAATTAGTATTCATTTATTTTGTTGATCATGCACGAATCCATCGTATATTATGCACTTAAGCTAAATAAGTACTTAAGTCTAATAGCCCTCACTTTAATTCAATAATAAACAATTCTCTACCATATGTATAACTGGTTATATTTAATATAATATTAAAAGAAATTCCAGCAGTCTTTGAATAAGAATTGTTACAAAATCAATCCCATATTATTATTTTATTTATGTGTGTAGATAATTAACACTTGTGTAATATTTTAGAATATTTTATTGTTGCATTTCGTCTCTATGACCCTAAAAGCGTGGGTGCCTTTTTAAATAATATGGATCATGAACTTGAACAACATGTTCGTAAAAATTTCGACATAATTAAGCGGATAGGCAAAGGAGTCCGTGATTTTATTTTCAATTTAATTTTGGTAGGCATATGGGATTGTATGGAAGGCGAAATACAGGAGGCGTGACATGACTGTAGCTCTCAAGAAGATTTACGATGCATTTCGAAATAAGACTGATGCTCAAGTAATATTGAATAAAATTGTTATTTTTAGAGAACATTTCGAGAAATAATATTCCTTAAAGAGTTCTCTGGTCATCCTAATATTATTAAATTATTGGGCTTGCTTAAGGCGCAAAATGATAAAGATATTTATCTCATCTTCGAGTATATGGGTAAGGTATTATATTACTCGAAACGCCTTTTTAGAATCGGATTTGCACAAATTAATCAAAAGGGGGAACATACTACGGAATGTCCATAAGAAATACATCACCTATCAGATTTTGAAAGCTCTAAAATATATTCATTCAGCTGATGTTATTCACCGGGATCTCAAAGTAAAATATTTGCAAACGTTTTAGCTAAACTATTTTAGCCATCCAACGTCTTGGTTGATTCAGACTGCAACGTTAAGGTCTGCGATTTCGGATTGACTCGTTCGCTAGCCCGACTAAATGGGCATAAGGACCAAGAAATGGACAATCCGGAGCTGACGGAATATGTAGCCACTCGATGGTATAGGGCTCCAGAAATCCTTCTTTCTTCCACTCATTATACAAAGGGGGTCGATATGTGGTCCGTCGGCTGCATTATGGCTGAAATGTTCATTGGGAAAGCTCTTTTTCCTGGATCGTCTACTTTGAATCAACTGGAAAGGATATTATCGGTTGGACCCAAACCAACCCGAGAAGGTAATTCCCTTCAAAAGATTCAAGGAAGCTACTTCTCTGAGTAAAATAAGTCCGTGCAAATATTGGAGCTCACTTTTTTAGAGGCCCATAAACTTGCTGTGATAGCTTCAACAGTGCATAATGGAATGCGATTTACACTAGATCTTTTATTATATTCTCAAGTTTTTTAGTAAGTTTCTCGGTTTAAAATGTGAATACGTGAGTTATATTCATATTGTGACTTTTCAGTTGCCCATATTTAAACAATGATTCTTCTACGCTCTAGCACTGCTAGTAAATCTAGTTCCGTTACTATGGCTATATCCTCCAACTAGTTATCACTAATTTACAATCTACTTAGACCTAAAGAGAAGACGAATTAAACGTGCACTTGCTCCAACGTCACTTTATCAGCGTTTCAATAGAGCTAATTTTAGGAGAAAAAGTAGTGACTGTGCCGATGAAGATGGGAATTTGTATGGACAGAGACCATCTTTTGATAGAGCAATCAGCTCTTTTTCATGGTGGTAGTGCAGTAATCTATGTTGAACATTTACTGCTTGGCCGATTGTACTTAATAGCAAAATATGGCCGCTGACGCACACATTTGGGAAAGGTAGCGAGGAGGTACAATTTTCATTTAATTAATTTAAACCACTTAGTGTCAAAATTTGCTTGTTCATTTTTTGTCTTAATTTTAGATGTCGAGTGTCTTCGTTCCGAGTATGGAGCCTCAATCTTGGAGCAACCAACTACAGTGTAAGCCTAATTTTAAAAAAATCTTGAAATCAAAGTTTTGTCGTTATACTTTCCTTCTTTCTTTCATTTCCTCACATAATTGAAATAGCCGACGACGTCTGGAAGACGTGATCACTCCAATTCCCGAATCAAGTGCTCTCGACTTGGTGCGACATTTTCTCCACTTAAATCCCAACAAACGACTCACTGCAACTCAAGCCCTTGAACAACCCTACGTTGCGCAGTAAGTTCATCGTAATTGGTCGTTTAAGCACCTTTCCCTATCTCTAAATCTCTTTTCGAGTCTTTCTACTCAGCCTACTGACTTCCAACTCCTAGAATGGTTTCCTTAGCCTGTTTTTCGCTATTCTATTTCGAGCTCTGGTCTGCTACTTAGCCACTTTTTCGGCTTAAGTCTGCCCTGTAAACTTTTAGTTCCATCTTGGTGATTTTGAACGACTTTTTTCTCCCCAATATCGGCAATTTTAATTCCTTCAATCGGTATTCATGTTATACTCCCTGTAACTTTGCACTTCAGTTTTAACTACCATTTATTTTACCAACGCTTTATTCCTATCGAAGTACAACAAACGTACCTGAAAAAGTAATAATTGCAGGGCAATAATAATGAGATGTCAATTTTAATTCGCTTTTTAGGTAATTTTATTATTGATGGATTGAGTAGAAGAGGCGGGTTTCTTGAAATAAAATGCGCCTTTCTATTTTTGAATGAACAATCTGTAGTCGCTGTGCAATTGTGATCTATCTTCGTAGTAAGAACAATCGAGGGTATTTTCAATCATTCTCCGACCATACTTTATTTCTCTAAGTCCCTGATGCTTCCTGATCCAAAGTCAAGGCAAACGTCTCACTTGACAAGTGTTGAATGAGGAGGTTCTATGACCGCTTCTTTGTGTCAGTGTGGTCAGCCATTCACGTTACTGATCTCATGCCACTTCTATTACTTCATATGTCACATTTTGTCTTTAGTTAGCTTCGACACTGGTTGACTTATAAAGTACATGGCAATTTAACAGCACTTTTAGGAATGTTTGTATTGGGAAAAGGGCGTCTCTGGTGAGATTCAAATAGTGTGATTGGCCATTCTATTTACTGGGTGTATGGCGATGAGAGTCGAACAGTCATGACGGATATTCATGGTTGCCTAAGCGACACCGACGCGCACAACTTTTACACAAGCAGTTTTTTGGACCTGTTCAAGACTCCATTTCAGTATCTGTGTCCCCTAATTTTGCGTGATACTTTTTGTAGAAGTTTTTGAACAAAATGGGTGCGAATTAATTTATGGATCCATTTTCGTCTCCTTGTCCAAAAGAAACTGATTTTCAAACCTCATGGTGTATTGACCACTTGACATATTCTTTAACGTCTACAGGCATATTACGACTTTTGTACATTGAACTAACATCACGACTTTTCACACTCACCTGTAATCTTTAAATTAATAGATGAGCATACTACTCAGTTTGGCTTACTTATAACACGTTATACATTTCCTTTTTACCTTTTTTGAAAATAGTTGAAGTACATTAAACAAAAATCCGTTGATAATGCATTCATCTGCAAATTGGTCGAATCAGAATGACGATTTATTTATTCTCTCGACAAATGAGTGAATAGTTTGTCAGGCCCTTTATTGGTATCGTTCTCTTATTTGTCCCATCAACAGGTCACACCCACGAGAAGGGAAATGTCATTGTTGTACTAAGTGGATAATTGTGTGAACGTTTTTCTTCCCACTCCAATATTCACTTGGTGGCACTTGCTCGTTTAGAGCATTAAAATTTGATGTTTAAATTTTTATTTTCAAGAAAACTCCAAAATACATAAAATAATTTTGGAAGAAAATAAATAATTACCACAGTAAAGCAATTATTTTTTTCCAATTGAATAATGAATTTGTTACTCCTATTTGGCCATAAATAATTTCCAATTAGCATACTTTTAATACAGTCATCTTGCAATTTATTGTGCATTAATACACATTTATTTATTTATTAAAATTTCTTTATTATTTATTAATTCGCACATTTTATGCCAAAATAGCTGCTTACTTAAACGAGTGTTCAACTTGTCCTAGTGTTTAAATTTCCGCCCGTTTATGACTAATATTGTATTATAAATCCGTCTCTCTTTACGCCCTATTTTATGCTTAGACCTTAGTTACGATGGCAATCGTTCATTTCACTTTGATTACTAGGCAATCCATTCTTAAAGAACCAATAAGGATGGGAATAACATATTTGTTTAATTTGAAAAGTTGGAAAGTTGTCAATCAACTTATCGATAAATGATCAGTTAGTAATCGTATCTAAATATGGGTTGGCTAGGAAGGTGTGACTTTGAAACCTTTTTACCTTCGGAACCTCCATCACTTTGATTATTTGGGAGCCAAGATCGACTGGGTTCCGGTTTTTCATAGCCGATTTAATGGCACTTGCATTCTTCGTCTGTCATTTGCACTTAGATTTGGTGTAAACTGGAATTATTCGAATCTAAAGGGTGGTATTGGCTTGTGATAAGGAGAAGATAAACATTAACAATTTTCAGGTGCGTATAAATATTACAGTTACCTATTTTTCCTTGAAAGGGTATGACGAAGGGTTAAGAGTTGAGTCATATATAATTATATGCTTCATATTATTCTTTTCCTACCACGAATTTCAAACATGAAGCTTAAACCCTTAGAATTCGGCTAGGCAGTGCACAAATATTTGTGGAATACCAAATTTACTGGCCTAATCTTGCAAAAGATGATCTTGTTATTGATGTAAAATTACAGAAAAAATATATTTATACGTGTATTGCTTTCTACAACATAATTTATCAATTTTGTATTAATTTAGATTCAGAGATCCCTCAAGTGAAATCGTAATGGACCACGTTGTAATTCCACCCTTGAATGATAGCATAAAATTGGACATTTCTGAATACCGCTCCCAACTCTACGACGTAAGTTGGAATATTCTTATCAAAAGACATTTCACCTGTTTGTAATCGACTTGTTGCTAACGTCGCCACGCTGTTAGCAATTTTATCACCCAAATATATGTGCGCATTGGGTAAGCTGAAACGTCGTTGGGAAGAAAGTTCGTAAAAAACCCCATAGTATTCATTCAACTTGAATTCATTTTTAAGACTAATTCAGTTTCACCATTGGAACTTTCAATTGCAAGCCGATTTCCTGTGTAGTTGGGTGGGGGGAAATAATTAGGGGAGGGGGGGGGGGGGGTTAAATGTCTTTCTTTGCATATCCAAACTATGTTTTCATCAGTTTGTCCATTTAAACTTTTGTGGTTCAGCTCCTAATACCCAAAATGGAGTTTATTAATTATGTTTTTATCTTGAGTAGCATGGTTATGTTTCGCAGAATCTATCCACATGGGATAATTTAAAGCAAATAATAACTACCTTATTACGGGATGACATTAAAATAAGTCATGTGTTAGAGGATAAAAATGAGTCCTTAAAACTCAAAGAAATGAGTTAATTTGAAAAGGCATAAATTTGCAGCTCTATGTGCTTCAATGGCGTATTGCTTAAAGTACTCATTTGGTAAGTAAGTGGCGAAAAGACGGATTTTAATTAGTGCGCCTCCAGTGAAATTGATGATCAACCCTATTGATTATTTCTAATCACCACAACGGTTACCAGAATGTGAGTTTCCTAAAAGAGGTGGTTTTGAAGTGTTTTAGAGGTGTTTAGAAGTTATTCGCGTACAAGAATCGCTAATAAATCGAGCCGTGGGCTTTGGGAAACCCCACAATGCTCCTAATACAATCGAAAGGCTTTCTTAATATTGACAAAAGATTTTCGACTTCCTAAGTTGTTCATTTTTTTAAAAGAGTTTTACGGCCACATACGAATCCTAGCGTTTAATTTATTTCAAATACTCCTCTTTTAAAAAAGCACCAATAATCTGCCCAAGTGATATACATCTCTTGGAATGGATATGACCCTTAGAAAAATACCACTTTTGCTCTATGAATGCTCCCATTGTGTTCAAATTGCAAAAACAAAGTGGCTAGGTGTAACTCTATTTGTTAAAAGATGCAGACGTTTGTGTATCTAATTTAAATATTTATCTCATCACTCAGCTTGGAGTTGAAATATCACGACATTGGCATTATTGAAAATAATCATTGTAAAGTCTTGCCGTAAAATGAAGGCTAACAGCTCCTACAGACGTCGAAGGAAGAACAGCATAAGACTCGTCTTTAGTAACATTAGGTAATGTATATGATAAATGTATTTCCAAGAATTCATTTCTACTCTCAGGTCGTACACAAACTCTTATAGAGGCACTCTATTATCTCCCTTTTGATCGATTTGATATTTCTAGTTTTTAAGGCGAGTAGATATATGCCAGGTCATATAATAGGTTTTAATCAATTGATTCTCATCACCCAGTGGTCACCTGAGTTCTAGAGTTCCATCCGAATCTGGAAATGTATAGATATATCTATCGTGATACTTACATATCTCCATTTTCCATAAAGAAACTGCTACTTCCGAGACCAAACTCAACAATTTTTAATAATCCTTTTGCGAAGCAAATGATATCCCTAAGACTAGCATCATATATCTGTCTTTCAAGCTTAATTAGAACTAGATTAAAGTACGGTCGCGTGTAAATTGGGTAATTGGAAAGGAATGGAAGGCTAAAGGAAGAATTTGTGAGGGGGGGGGGTGGGAAGACGGAAAGGCGTCATTATCTGGAAAGACAATCAGGAGATGTGGAGGAGATGTGAATTGAGGCTTTGATTTTATTTTGTGTAAGTTTTTGAGGGAATTCCAAAATGAGCGGACTTATTAATCAATTAGTGAACTTCAATCTTATCAATTTCGATTTGTTGTCTTGCAGACTAGAAGAATGAGAAGAATGTCCAGTTCTCCATGTCTATTTAATGGACGTAAATAACAATAATTTTGTGCTTTGTGGTCATCCAATTGGAGAGTTGCAATTAATCTATCAGATCCTCAACTTCTGAAAAGTATAATGTTGTTTGAACTTACATATGAATGGCATTCAAAATTCAAAGCATTATAGTAAAGTAATTATTTACTTAGACTCTCTAAAATCTGAAAAATGATGGGATTAAGCCAAGATAATAAACTTCTTGTCCCAGTGACTTGTTGCCCTTTCTATTCGAGGCAAGGAAGAAACAAGGTTGCTATCAGATGAAAATGTTATGATAACTGATAATGCGACGATTAAGTTCAAGAAATCTAGCTTTAGAAGCCTGACTGAGTAACGTAAAGTCACAATTGAATAAGAAATATTGATTTATGTGATTCAATTCAAATAAAAGATTTGAAATTAATTGTTTTTGTTGCATTATTTGCAGATGATAAATGAAGCGAAAGCCAAAAAATCTCGAACAAATGATTTGAACTCCTCAGAAAGTGAATCAGCGTCCAAAGACATCTCCATCGCAAGTTTTTTCGCCAAATTTTTATTTTTAATTTCTTTCTATTTTGCATAATTTTTAGTTACTTGTCTTGTTTTTTTTCTGAACTGATGAGCATTTAGGACGCTGCAAACATATAATCAGATTGACGTTGTCATAGTAAATGCTCCAATTCAATTACCGGGATTACGTCAAAGCAAAAGTTCAAACACAGAAAGAATGGTCGCGTTTGATAAATCCTCCATATAATACAATAATGTAATGGTAGTATGAAAATAAGCCTTATATTTTGCTTTCATACATAATGGGATTCAGATTTGGGGTTCAAATGGCACTAGTTAACAAGATTCCCTGAGAATTGACAAATTCGAGTTTTTAGGAAGGTATGTCCCTAATAACCCTGGACTTGAGACCAAAAATATCACCCAATGCTATGCGGTTTGGAAAGTATCAAGTGAGACAACAGCTTTCTTACAAAAGAAATAGAATTGATTATTTAGAGTTGGATTCGTGGTAAATGACTGGCCTCTTGGCTAGCCAATAATTCCATTTATAATTGCTATAGTGGTGTCTGCGTATTCATGTGAGACCCTAGAAATCCAAAAATCGATAATCCCATGCTTTAAGTGCACTGAAATGTTCGCTTCGGTTTTCGGAAAGATGGAATTAGAGAAATGCCTTTCCAAAGTGAAAATAAAGCAAGGCTTGAGTGTATAATGAAGGTAGGAGTCATGAGAGAATGATAGTAACAGTGGAAAACAGACTTTGATGTAAACTGAAGTGTCTAACGCAGTCTGAAATGGTCTAATTCATGCTGGAAAAATTGTAAGTCAAAACCAACAATGGACTTTGAAGCGCAGGGCGGGGGGGGAAGGGGGTGGCTGAGAGTGTATTGACTGTCCTTGGAATAAACCCGAATACGAAATTATAATTTTTTTGAGAACCTTTTTTTCCAGAAATACCTTCCTATTTGGTTGGATATTTTTTATTTTTGCAAATCATTTCGGTTGTACCTTTGTAACTTGCTACAAGCTACCTCACAGTAAATAGGACAATTATTATTGAAAAAATATGTTTTCTAAAAAAATAATGAATTCTAACACTTGCTGCTTGACTGATATAGATAATAGATTTCAAAAGTCTCAACCACTAGTCTTGGGCGGTTACATAAACTGAAAATAATTGCTCTCTCCTCTGTGGTATTGAATTCAAACATGTACGCATTTGAAGTCAGAGGCTACAAGGACACTTCACGCCCAAATGGTGACAGACTCATTACGCAATCTAAATGACCGGCTGCATTAACCAAATTTCTAACGATGATAGTGCCATGTACATGATTTCTACATCAAAGAGGTTGTGAAGTTTTAAATATAGGCTCCGAACAAGCACTGACACAAGTGATCAGAATCATATTTA